TCAATTGAATGAAGGCTCAAACAAAGGCGGGAGGGAGATGTATGTGGAATAATCCAAGTTTATATCCAAAAGAAAAAGAAACACAAAATCCCCTTCAAGAAAAAAAAAAAAAAAGCTGACAGGAGGACCTAAACAAAGGCTCGACATGGGAAAATAAATCCACGCACAACGGCACAAAGACAACAGCCTGACCCAGAACAAAGAAGACTGACTGGTTGTCATGAGTTATGTTTTTTTTTTTGTTGTACTGTGGTATCCAAGTTTTCAGCTCCCATGTAATTTTGCTTTTACTTGTACTGGCATTGATCATTCTTTTTGCTCTGTGTTCTTTGTTTCTTTCCCTTGTTTTTCTCACTCCTTTCACCGGTGTTAATTGCCTCAAACGCTCCTAATTCTCAAATCACCTCTCTTTTCTTCTGACTTTGTCAGATCTTCATCTGCTGTTTCACACTTTGAAATCATTGTTTTCCTATTGTTACTCAAGTCGAGGTTTTTTGGTCACTTGACAGTATTTGATTTTGTGCATTTGTTTAGATTTTGGTTTTCTGACCGGCTTTATGGATCTGCTCATCACCCACCTAAGGTTTTGTGAGACTGGTAGTAGATATGTAGTGTGAAAATATGGTAAATGCGATACATCAACATGGCAACACAGAGATTACAGGAGAATGTATTGTAAAGAGAGGGGGAGTTGGTGCCCAGCTTATATGTTGTGTAACAAGTCTTTATTTCTAAACGAATATTTTTCTTTTTTTGTTTCTATGGTATTCAGTCTGTTAATGCAATGAATTCAAAGTAAACACAAGAAATTTAAAATAAAAAGGTGCATTCCCTTTGAAAGTCAAAAGCTCAAACCCATTGGTCAATGTCTGGAGCATGGAGGGTGGCTCTCCGTTGCTTTGAAACAAATATAACCATTTTGTTAAATAATTTTGTTAATGCATGCCTTTCAGGTCCTCCAACAGGTCAGGGTCCAATTTAGGGTCCAGTGGATAAATGCTCTTTTCTTTTCGCTCTTCATATTTCATTGGTGTTGTGAAAACAGAGTAAATGGACTGGATTCCATAATTGGATTGTATGATAACATCGTGTGCGAGTAGTGTAGACAGTGAAACATCCCACCGCTCGATTCAATCTGTTTCAGAACTGCCTTGATAAACCCAAGAGGGGTGCTTTATTATTCATGAATTCATACCGTTGTCACATGAAATACATCTGACCCCAGTGACTAGATTCTGATGAAACTCAGAGGGGGGGTTTGCATCTCACCAATATATCCTGATAAGCTCTGAATTAAGATGAAATATATCAGCCCCAGTCAAAGCGCGTCACAATTGGTTGTAGATTTTCCCACTAAGGGACAGCCTAATCTGTCAGGGGGCAACCCCTCCAACCATTTTTATCAATTATGGCACTAATCTTATGCAAAAGTTATCCCCAGAAGTTGTTTGTTGTCAATGCAAAAGCGTTCTCGTTCTAAAAAGTGATGTAGTGTTTTGTTTTTTTAGTTTCTATGTACAAAATGTAGCTTGGGATAACACAAACACTAAGTAAAAGTGCACTTGTATCATGTGCACAATGTGCACAATGAAAGTATTTTTTACCCGTTACCTTTGTGTAGCCTTTACAATATTCCTTCTGAATAAAGAAACATCTTATACTATCTTATCTTATTCTTTTTAATGTAAAGTAAAGCCGTACAAATACTTAGATTTTCTTTTTGAACCATTTGAGCAGTTGTGAAATGTACAAACACACGCACATACACGGTAAAGAAATTATGGTCAGTTTAATGTCTTGTTTCCAGAGATGTACCGTAACGAAGTAGAGCTACTTAAGTACTGTACTTAAGTAGCAAAATGCAGTATCTGTACTTTATTGGAGTATATATTTCTTTCCCCTACTTTTACTTCTACTCCACTACACATTTTTGATTAATTTAATACTTCTACTCCGATCGATTTTTCACGTTACTGATATTTAAACGTAACGAATCATCCCCAAGTCTCGTTATTGTGAAGCTGGCTCATCATTGGGCGATTTGAGCGATCGAGCATAGCCCAAAAAAAAAAAAAGCCTCCCGAAAGATTACGAAATCACGGCCTTCAAAAAAACCCCCCATCTAATCTGAAGAAGCATATCAAGGTGTATTGTCAAAAATGTCAAAAAAAGAGGAAAAGGTAGGAAAAAAAGAGGCGTGAACTTGTGTTGGGGGCTGGAACTTCCTGTATTCCGCAATAATTTGCCAATTTGGGCATTTTGTGATGCAAGTAGAGTGGATCTGTGATGGTTTCTCCTACTTTTTGGGGAAGCAACATGATGCTTCATGTTGATGCTTCTGGGCTGTTCCATCATAACGTTCACCACTAGGCTTAACTTTCCCTGGTTTGTCTTTTTTGCTGCTCTTCGGGCTGCCCCTCTGGCCTTTTGAGATGTTTTATTTGTGCTTTGTTTTCTAATATAAACAATAAATATCAAACTTTTGACTAGCTTTTTTAATATACACAGTACTTGTCCTTTTACTTATATTTGTAATTTTTGAAATACTTTTACTTGCAATACTTAAGTCCAAAAAAAATTGAGTACTTCCGTACTCCCACTTAAGTATGGTGTTGAAAGAACACCTCAACTTCTACTCAAGTAAATGTTTTTATATAGTACTTCTACTTCTACTCCACTCCCCTATACCAGTACTTTATACATCTCTGTTCATTTACTATTTAATGCCTGACAGACTCGTTTAGTTTGAAGAGTTGTTACAGGCTGTTTCTGCTATGCTAAAGCTGACGTGACCTAAAAATCTCAAAGTGCTACACTGTGCCATATGCTTATTGGCTTTTTCATTATGCCGCCGTGCAACATCTGACCTCTGTTTGGTGCTGTTTTTGAGTTTTTACACTAGAAGCGAAAGGAGCATCTTCCTATTGCTAGAGAAAGCTTGCGATTGCTAACATTTAGAGTTTATTATTGCAATTTTGATTCAACTGAGAAAGCCTGAGAGCAAATTAAAACCATGTTCAATATTCGAGTTGTTCATATAGTTAACCTGCGGGGAAAAGTGTTAATGCTGCTCAGTTATGGCTTACATTTCAGCTAAAAGTAGTTGAACACCCTGGTTTTGTTATAATGTTCAGACATTTTTAGGATATCATGATTCATCATTGGTAATT